TTGGGTTGTGCTTGGAGAGGGTCCTTTGATTATTGTGAAGCATAGGTTTATTTTGTAGTTGTTGTTGAAAGAGAAGTGCCAGTTTAGAGAGCTTGTTATAATGAACTTAGTTGAGCCTGTAATATTTCTATGAAAACTTGTCTGGGTAGTCTGTTTCAGACACTAGTGTGCACTTGTTTTTCATCCATGCATATGTTTTTAACTAGGACAAAAGGACTTAAGCTTTCAAGTTTTAAGAGAAAGGTTGCTATGCAGAAGTTTGTGACCAAATGATAACCAATTATCTGCAAATTATTATGTAGTACTCCACTCTTGAGTGTGGGAGAGAGGGAGCTAGTAGGGTGAGGCTGTTGGCTTTCCATAAACCAGTGCCTTTGTGTGTTTTTTGCCTTTTATTTTTTTAAAACTAGTCCTCAATTTGTTTCAGTGCCTAAAGGAAATCTGGAATGTGTGAAATACAGGCACAGGTGCCTAAAGTTTCTTAAGTTTGGATTTTAAAATTTACAAACACTTTGTCACTTAAGATTCTGCAGTCCACCCCTAATTCTCGAGTTTTGTTGTGATTAAGAGACACAGTATTGGCATTTGAAAAATGGCTTGGCTTATATTCTATGTGAGGAAGCCCTGTATGCCTATAAGCCTGACTACTGAGGGAAGGACTGAGTGGCCTGACTTGACTCTGGCAGGCTTGCTGCCAGAGCAGTCAGGTGTGCTGCTGCGGCAGGTTGAAGGCACAACCTCCTACTGCCCTCCTCTTGAACTGTCTTAGGAACCTCACCTGGCTAGAAATTAATCTCTTTTCTCAGGTATATTCCACTCATCACTTGTATCTGACACCCTACCACCTTATCTCTGCATATTTCCTTTTCTTGCAAGCTTTTTTAAGAATTGGATTTGGCAGGTAAAATGCCCATGTGTGAGAATTTTAGACTTGCACAACACAATGACTTAATATCTTGAAATGATTAATTTACGCAGCTCTGAACTGAATTTGCTCTTTACTATTCACATATTCTGCATTTTGGTTTCTAATGTACACTAACTCTTAAATGTGTTCTTGATTAGGCAGTTTGCTTAATTTGCAGGGTTTCTTTGTTTTTTCTTCACTTTTCTCTACTGAAAGTATAGATACCAAAGGAAAAATGCATCAGAAATAAGGAAGAATGTATAGGCGCTTTGATGTATCTTACTGTTTTGATTGTGTTATGTTCTTGCTTGCTAGAGGAAATGGTGTGTAATCAGGGCAAGAAAAACTTCAAGTCAGAAGTGGAGTGAATATTTTCAAATTAGAGCTAATCTGTTCCTGTACTTTACTAAGATCTAGTCAATCCTCTGTTATGAGGAGGTCTTAAACAAGAGTATTTTTAGAGGTAGTCTGGCTCAATAGCAGATTGAGCTCAGCGTTGGGAGTATCTGAGTGAAACTAGCTAGCGGCATGGGTGAGGCTGGACTGATGCTTACAGTAACTTTGAGCTGTGCACGTGTTCACAGATCAGTGTCAAATAATGGCTTGGCTCTTAAAATTTCAGAGGAATGTCTGCAACTGCTGCAAATCATCTCTTCAAGTGTGCTGGGATTCCAAAACTATCTGACTTAACTGGGCATTAACTTTCTTAAGAAGTATGTCTCTCAATTCTTCTGCACTGTTTTTTGTTTTATTCAGAAGAGTTGAAACTCTGAGCCTTTTCATTCCTTCTGACAAATAGTTATCAAATAGTTAACACCAGTATTTCATGCTTGGTAACCAGTGTTTGTTTCCTTTGTTACTGAACAGCAAAAAACCCCCACCCCACTAATGACTACTCGAATTAACATTTTGATGTAGATTCCAAGGTGGTTCCTATTGTTTTAATCACCATTGTCCTTTTTGCTTAGCAATACTTGATTATTTGAGCTTGGAGTGAGGTAGTGGCAGGTGGATTTGAGTGAGAGATCCTGAGATTCCTGAAACTTCCTGATGCCTTGAAGCAACCACTGATGCCTCAAACATTTTAAAAAGGAGTCTCCCACTTTGGAGAATTAATTAGCCCTCCAAGGCAAATCTTGTGTGGTACAACCAAAATGAGACCTGATGAAAGAGCATGTTGTTGTTTTAATTTCCTAAAGTTAATCACATAATAGAAAGAACTCAGTCAAGCTTGTGCCTGGCTGCTTAGCAAAGAAATCTGCTGCCGAATGATGAGCAGCTTGTGAGGGATTAGTATGTTCGTCAAGCAGAACAACATCAGTGATGATCTGTCCTGCAGGCTCTGCCAAGACGCACCTAGCAGGATTCCTTGAAGCTGTTGAAAGAGAGGCTAAATGTGGTATGAGTGCTTCAGTTCTTCCAGAGACTGTTCTCTATCTTACTGCTTCAGTATCTCGTGGAAGTGAAGTGAGAGAGTTAGTTGCATTCTAATTCGCTTTGGGTTTCATGCTAATTTAGTGGCCTAGAAGGGTATGACATGCACCATTAAACAAAATTATTTTTTAATGTTATTGTGGTAGTGACATAAGTAGTAAGGAAATAAGCATAGATTTTGTAAAAGATGAGACAGAAGATAAAGGAGTGGAATGAGGAAGCAAATGACAAGCAAGAAGAGGGGACCACATGTCTGAAATGACAAAACTGGTTGTGAATGTACTGACTTTTGAGCAGCTGCTACTATCCTCCCCAAAATGTGTGCTGATGCATGCTGGAAGCTTCAAGTTTAAAGTGAGCAGTGCAGAGTTCCCTTCCCAATGCAAAGCTGCAGAGACTGGAACCAGTTTAAGAACTGTAGCTGCAGTTAGTGCCCCTTTTTTTTCCTTTTATGCTTTTGATGTTCCAAAACCGTGGTGGTTTGATTGTTGGTCACTTACTGCTATTGTAACCATGGTTACTGGGCAGATAAACTGTGTACTCAGCCTTAATTATTGCCTGTGTCATGGTGGTACTTGATGCTGAATAGGAAGCATAAAAACTTACTGGTAAAAATGATGCAGATTTTGACAGGAGGATAGGAAAGGAAAAAAGCTTCATTGATGAGGGGAGCCTCATCAATGAGAGTAAAAATCATCAATGGTGCTGCCAACTGAGAAAGGGCCAGCAGTCCCAAGCGTTCACTGCTCAACTTTTTTCATTGGTTCTACTTTCCCATGATTTGCAACATGAGGAGTTAAGGGGTGAGATGTAAAAGGTGAAAAATATTTATCTTGAGATCGTATCCCCGATGGTTGTATCCCCGATCTTGAAGAGACTTTTATTAATGCCCTTGGAAAGATATTGGGGAATCGGGTTGCTCTTGACTTTTTTGTAGAGGAATTTTTTTTCTTTATCTGTTATTTAAGTCTGTCTGGTTAAAACATGCAGGGATAATAGAGTCCAGGATTTACAGATGGGTAAGCACAGGTTTCAGGGAATCAGGTTTTCCTTTTAGTCTGCTGTGGAGTTATGTAGAGATGCTAGATGAGCCAGACTTTGTGACTGATTTGGTATATATATTTTTTTGTTTGTTTGAAACTTGTACAAATCAATATCATCCTGGAAACTATTGCTGATTGTGTCTGCAGGATACACTTACCGTTTTCCAAGGTATGCATTTGGAGGCAGGGAGTAAACCAAAATAATTACCTTGCGAATAACTCTTTATTAGGTTGGGGCAGGGGGAAGAGCATGTCAGTGCTGAAGTATTTGGTTATAAACTGCCTCTATAATGTGACTGTGTCAGGTAAATTCTCTGATAGTCTAAATCTTGGCTACATTATTGACATATTGCATGACTACAGTGGCTTAGTTTTATGTTTATGAAGCAAAAATGATGATTTGTCCCTCACTGGGACAAATTGTCCTGAATGTTATAAAAAGGATGCTTCTATAGGGCAGAGTAGATAGTATTCCATGCCTTTTTTCCTTACTGGGACAAACTGATGATATGTAGGTCTTTGCCATACTTTACTGGTATGACAGTCTTTCCAGTTTTATTCCTGTTCTGGTAGGTGCAGCTTTTGCAGCATCCTCCACTAACTTACCTCATCAATTCCAAGGTTAACTGACAAAGCTTGTACTTATTTTTGGAACACTTGTTTATATGGAACATCCAAAATTGTTGTAATGGAGATTATTAAACAAAAAAACAAACAACACAAACCACCAAAAAAAAGAACCCAGGAAAAACCCTCAAACTGTACAGCAAACCTGAGGCTTCTGAAATCGGCACATTTCGATTGAAGAAATACCTTTATGGACAAATAATCAGCTTGCTTTTGAAGATAATAGCTAAAAAAAGTTACTCTGGTAATTCTCAAGTGAATTTTTGTGTGTTCTTCTGAGTGAAATGTCTTTTCCATAGCATCGTGAAGATCGTTTCAGTTGGAGGCTAGCTTTGTCGTGGATGTTATAAAAAGGATGTCTCTATAGGGCAAAGTAGATAGTATTCAGTGCCTTTGAAAAACTGTTGAACTGTAAGACAGAGAAGCTACTAAGTTTCTTACCAGTGCTGTGCTTTCTTTCTGTGATTGTTGCTTATGTATTTTTAAGCTATTTAAAAAATTATATGAGTAAGGGCTTGACTGGATTGTAATACAAGTGACTAATGGTAGCCATAACAAAAGTACTCTTAATGCATCCGTTTTAGATAAATACTTCTGCTCAGTGATAAAGACCAATGTAAAAGAAAATAATTTGCATCCCCATGCATTGAGGAATATCTCTGGGGACTGAGGGGAAGAGGGGAGAAGGTACATGGCAACTATTATTCAGGGGGAACTCAAAGCAAAAGTACTTTAGGCTGCCAGCAAAAAATGTTCAGCCTTTAAAAACCAAAAAGCAAACCAGAGCTGAGTGGACCCCATGCACTGAGGAATATCTCTGGGGGCTGAGGGGAAGAGGGGAGAAGAAGGTACATGGCAACTATTATTCAGGGGGAACTCAAAGCAAAAGTACTTTAGGCTGCCAGCAAAAAATGTTCAGCCTTTAAAAACCAAAAAGCAAACCAGAGCTGAGTGGAAGGTACTCACTATTTTTTTTTCTTCCTGTTAATCTCACAGCTGATTGCAATGCCGTTCTTAAAGCTCTACAGCCCGTTTTTCAGGAGCAGGGAATGACAGAAACAGTTCATAACTGGGAAGACCATGGTTATTTAGCAACCTACGTCAAAAAAAATGGCAGGTAAGTGGTTTTTCTTTTCCTATAGATTGTCCCCCTCTATCTTCCCTTAAAAATACTTATTTATCCCTGCATTGGATACTTTTTCTGGGATGCAGGCAGGGTAAACTTTTTCTACTAACCTTGTGTATGAAGTGACTAAAATAATGCAGAAAACTTCCGATAATCTTGCCGGTCTCATCTTGCAATTTGGATATTGTGGCTTGGATATCAGAACAATTGAACTGGTCGGTCTGGGCTCTATTCATGTAGTAACATTTTATGGTGTCTTTGTCTCAGGGCCAGTCCTTCCAGGCGCAGGACAGCTCAAGTCAATTAAATGTATTTCTAATTCTTCTGACAACTGAATACGTTTAAATATGTTCAAGTCTAATTTTAGCATGTGAATGATAACTTTTTACTAATGTAAATACTGTAGTTTTCTTGGACTTCATGGCAGTTGCTACTTTTGTTCTTTTGGAAATATGTATTGCGATGTTTAATTTGCTGACTCTGTTCTCCTGATTGTCTTGTTAAACAGCTCAGTTGGCCACACTTCTAACACTCAAGAATTGCCTAAGGATTTTTAAGTTGTGTTGATTCTCTCTTCTCTTCTGTCATTACAGGGAATGGGAGAACTGAAATATGTAGTAGGAAAATCAGATTCTAGGTGAATGTGTTACTGCTGGAATTTGTTTCTGTATGTGTACTGTATGTTAATACATGTATATACAGCCAGTACAATATGTATGTGGCTAGGTGCCCACCACAGCTGCTCTATCACTCCTTCTCAGCTAGATAGAGGAGAAAATACAACAAAAGGCTCATGCGCTGAGATAAGGACAGGTTGATCATCTGCAGTTACCGTCTTGGGCAAAACAGACTTGATTTCTGGAAACTAATTACATTTGTTAGCAATCAAATTAGAGAAGAGTAATGGGAAATAAAAGCAGATCTTTAAAATAAAACCTTCCCTCCACTCCTCCCTTCTTCCTGGGCTTAACATTACTCCCAATTTGTCCACCTCCTCCTGGACCAGCACAGAGGAACAGGGAATGAGAGTTGCAATCAATTCATCAGAAGAAAGTTGGTCAAGGTGCCGGTTTCCATGGTAAAACAGCCCCTGTGGAGTATCCTTGTTCCTTCGAGTATAGGCTTATATACTGGAGAACTATAAATCTATCTCCAATTGCTGTTCATCTTTTCAACTCGCAGTGAGAAATATGATAAAGAATATTGAGTTTCAGGACAAAATCTGTCAACTTAAAGATGCTCTAAATACTGAAGTGTCCATGGAGAGACCTGAATGGGCTTTCTATTACTGCAGTGCTGTTTTTTGCTATTCCTAATTTGCATAGGCTGGTTGATTTGCTCTATCACTCTCCATTTGACATTTTTCTAGAAGTCAGATGTAGAAGTCTTCCCTTTTCACTATAAATATGCAGGTGCCACAACCTTGCCTTTCCTTGTTTTCTCTTATGTATGTGTACTATGCTTCACAGTCTTCATTGCTAATCTAACCATGAGTGGGCTTCCCAACACAAATGTGGTTAACTGTCAAAAAGTTTTAGTTGAGCTTGGCCTTAATATCAAATTATTGTTGTCAGCTTAATGTTAAATTGTGTATTAGTGTTGTTAGTTCAGAAGTACATTTGCTGATGAAGACTGTTAATACTTATAATTTCTCAAAGTTTTGATAGAATACAGGTCTGGAAATATTTGGGCTTCTAAGAAGCTGTCCAGGAAAGCATCCTAAACATAATAAGGAATTGCACATTGTGATGCAGCCTCAAAACTGAAGAGTGAAGAACAAAGGTGCACAGAAGAGGAGATAATTCACTTTACAAGTGACTATTTTTTTCTAGTGCAGTGTTAAATATAAATTAATAAAGAATGTTTATTACTTTTTCTTGGTATATTTATTGCCATCTGAACTCCAGTGCTTACTGGATTTATTTGCCCTGGAAATTACTGGTGTTGCTAATCAACTTACTGCACGTAAGTCTAAGTTAAAAGTACTTTTCTGTGCTTTGGCAGCCCCATTAAACGTTGGATTGGGGAACAGTAGCATATGCAGGAGAAGTTTCTGTGAGTTTTGGGACCTCAGCAGATTTTTTTTTTTCCTTGAGTTTTCAGATTGCTTAGAGAAACTGCATGTACTTCTTTAAGGCAGCATTAAACAGGATATTTCTGTTAATGTCTGTTGCTGCAGTTTCAGTTAAGTGAAACAAGGGTGTGAACACTTAAAACCAAGTAGATTGGACACTTCATGAGTGGTAAGAATGAACTGGTGAACATACAGAGGATTTGATACTGACTAAAAAGACTTTATTTTAATAGTAGTGATTTTATGTCAGTGTTTTATTTTAGAGCTCTAAAATACATGTGGGTATATATATATTTAAAAAATTATAATAATTCTGTCTGGCACAGCTAGGAAGAAATAAACCAGGACTTGCAGCCTTCTGTTCCCCATGAAACAGTGTACTTTAAATGAGGTAGCTTGTAGTAAAAAGCAGGGGAAAAAAGTTAGAGAAGGTAGGTACATCGTGACAGGTTTCCTCGAAGAATAGCTGCGTGTTAGCTCACATAAAAGTTCCCCAGGATGGAAGATGGGTGAGATAGTGCTGTGTTTGAACAGGGGTTTTGTGAGTATGCACATACAAACACAATTTTAACCAGAGAGGTGACTTCAGCTCTTGCAAGACAAAGATGTGCAGCTAATGTTACAAGCTGGGTACTAAGCCCAGGAAAATGTTTGAGATGAGATAGTAGTACGTTGCTAAACGCTGTCTGTGCACTAAAGTCTGCAGAGATAACCTCTGTAGTTTGCATGGTGCCTCTTGCTATGGAGTGTTGAATTGTGAGCGCTGCTCTCTGCAAAACTTTGTCCCTTACAAAGATACAGTGGGAACAGCCCCGTGGAGGGCTGTGACTGTTAAACGAATTGGAGCTGATTTGGGGATTAAGCTGTGCTTTCCTGTTGTCATTCCCAAAGCAACAGATCCCAGTTCTCCTTTGTCTGAAGCGAAGTCAGCAAAAGTCACATGTGGCAACCCTACCTGGTCCATTCACTTTGTGATTTACTCTGACAAAGGACCTAATTGAGGGAAGTTCTGCTGAAAACATTTACTAATGAGTTTGTCAACACGAGGCTCTAGAGCTGGACAGGAAATTGCTCACTTGAGCCACTTAAGTCCCTGTCTGTAGTAGTGGGGTTGGATATGCTTCTGCTTTACTCCCCTGCTTGCCCAGACGCTGGTGAGGGAACATGCAGGAGAGAGGAGCTCTGTCTCTGAGTTTTCTGGGGACTCAGCAGTATTGTTTTCCCAAGCTGTATGTTTTCAGATTGCTTCCAGAATGTTTTTGGAGTCTCCTTAAGCAGCATGCTTACTATGAATGGTTGAAGACTTAACTTTTCCTAAAATCTCAATATATACAGTACAGAGTCATAAGGCCCAGTATATCTGAGCAGATTTAAAAGTTACTAAATAAATCTTGGGCAATTGTTGAATATGTTCTCAACTAATACTACTTTTTAATAGCAACAGTGCTTGTGAGCAGGTACTCTTCTGTTAAATACTGTGTACAGCTCTCTGGGTTTTTCTTGTCCTTCATGCATCCATGCTCCCTCTTTTGCCATGGTCCACCTGAAAGTTCTTAAAAAATTAACAAAACCTGGAATTTAAGAGTCACAGTTTATACAGCAGAAGGCTGTTTTCTAAAACCTATTGCTTTCCCCTATACACATATCCATTCTGTACCTGAATTCTTGTTTAGAGAAGTGTAATCCTACTGACATTTGACTTCACTGTTCACAGCAGTGCTAAGTTTATCCAGCTGAAATTATGTCACTTAAAATGGTGATTAATATGTTAACACCATGAGGGGAGGGGTGAGTGTTTTTAATTTTTCTTCTGTGTTAATCTTTTGCTAAACACTCAGTATGCTAGTCAGCATATTTTAAAGGAATGGTGTGAACATTCCTCAGCTGTTTGCTTTAAGCTAAAAGACTGTAGTTTCTTCATAGTTACCCAGGGTGCAAAACTGGTTTGAGGAATTGGAAGCAGTGCTAGGAATGAACAACGGTTTAGAACTGTGTTAGCTTTTATCAGTTTAATTTCCTTAATTTGTAAAACCAGAACAGCAATAATGGTATAGTGAAAAACTGTAGTTGCTCAATTCCTTAAGATCCTGTAAGTACTCTGTAATTGAGGTGAAGAGCATCTTAGAGAGTATTGAAACAACGTTTTGAATTTTTTTTTATTTATTTTGGGATTTCCTAGTATAAATAGATTTTCATTTCTTCCTTTGTGAGTGATTTGACAGGTTATGCTTCTATTGGCAAGTTGTTTTTCAAATACTTAAGCTATTCTGTCTATTCTGTAGTGACTCAGCATTTATTTGCTGACAGACTAACTTTTTGATGGGTAAAGAGGGATTGTAGGTACTTGTCTGTCTATCCAATCTGTTCTCTGGGTGTGGTAGTGGGAGATACTTTCTCAGATACACGGGACTGCAGTGTTTCTTACTCCTCAGTACAAATAACTAAGGCAAGGTGATCTCCCTGCTTCTGGCTCTTTACTTAAAGAGGATACTCATCCAAAACCTTTTTTGTTTCAAAGAATTCCTTTTTGATTTCTACAACTGGAATTTATTTCTAAACATCTGATGTTCCCTGTTGTTCAGGTGGCAAACTGCAGTATTTAAACAATTTTACTGAGCAGCGTCTTGTCTTATATAGTTGAGACTCATTTGCATGCAAGGACAAAAAACCTGATTACTGCCACAGATTATGCGACAGGTATGCAGGTGCAGCAACAAGTGGGGCCTTGTTACAGCGGGGACTGCTTTTCACATACAGATTTTGTTGCCTAATGGAAGGGAGAGGATCCTTGTTTGCTGAACTTTTTTTCTTACTGTTTTTATGAAAGTGCATGCAGGCACTCACCAAAGGTGTGGCAAGTGTTTTATTCTGGAAAAGGGGATTAAATTTTTCACTAAGGCAAGGTGCAGGGCAGGAGTCTTCTGAAGAAAACTTCATTTCTCATGGTTTTTGCCCCCTCATTTGAACTGTGAAGTACTCTTTGCTGTATTTTTGTAGGTAAAAACCAAAGCTGTATTTTCATTATTCTTAAGGCGCTTCCCCAAAGAGCTGCTGCTGAAAGCCTGGTTTCACACATGTTCTGCCAAGTAGACAAGTGTAAAGTAACAAAAGCCAGCATAGCCTTTGTTCTCTGCTGATATTAAGCTAGTAAGTTTTCTGTGAGTTCAGCCTTGGCCTGCTGCTGTTGCCCGAATGCTACTATTCTGGTTTCTTTTCTGAATGTACCCTTGTACTGTTTGCTGTGTGTTTAAATCTTTACAGACGTTTTAACTATTGGGTGTTAATTTCCAACCAAGTGACTTGTAACAAGTGACTTTTAGCCAAAGTATAATCAACCTGGATCTGTATCAGCTTCTCTGAGAATTTTGAATTTCATTCAAGGTTGTTTACAATAAATTAACTGTCTTAGATGCTAAGAACTCAAATTTTTGTCCCACTACATTGCTCCAGCCTGGTGCCTACCTTTCTCCCTCTGCTGATGTCAGGACTGTGCTATTCCAGTAGCAGTAACAATTAAATGAAATTAATAATTCTGCAGTGTTACTGTCTCTGTGTTCTAATGCTATCATACCACTTAGGATAAGTCCAAAGTTATGTGGTTGTGCTTTTTGGAGCAACCCTCCTATATGACTCTTCTTGCTTCTCATCCAAAAAAGACCCCAAACTGGAGGTGGTAACATCATGTACTGACTAATTATTTCATGCAGCCACAGGGGAAGTGCAGACAATGTCAGCTGTCAGATCTTATGACAGCTATGTGTTTCTTGTAGGAAAGGAATTTAAAATGGATCTCAGGTCATGGGACAGTCAATTTGCTGTTCATTTGTGTAAATAGCAACCTCTGGAATATGGGAATAAACTGATAAGTGCAAATATTTCTGGCACTGTTTCAGATTTTGCGGAACTGCAGTTTATGAGACAGCTCTGTTAATACTCATTTCTGTCTGTAGTGCTGCAACTCTGAAGGTCTGGGACATATCTGTTGACTTCACCAGGAATGTCCCTTTTCACTCCATGTGGTTGCATCCAAAAACTGCAGGAATGACCAGCACTTCTGTCTGGTGAACTCTGCTCTTCTGCCTATCTTTACTTTAGATAAATAATAAAAATTAAAATCTCCTGGATTCTTGCAGTAAAGCTGTTTGTGCTTGCACTTTATGCCTTACTGGTTTTTTCCCTCTTATGTTAGGCATGTTACGAAATTAGCCCTCGCCAATGTGAAAGTCGTATAAATGGAATCCTGATAGGACTGGTAGAGCTGTCCTTTGCAGTAGCCATTTCCCCTCTGCCGAGTACTGACTCTATAGGGAATGTACACAACTAGTTTGAGTCCCTTTTGGTTCAGGGGATTGTAAGGTTACAGAGGCAAGTGTTGAAAAACTGAAGCTCTGTAGAGACTGGATGAAGTATGTGTGACCTGCCCTCTTTTTTTTTTTCTTTTTAATTGTTTAATGATCCTACATGTGTCTTAATGGTACTGGTGGGAATATCAACTTAAGCTGTAAAATGTAGTCACTATGCAAAGTATGAAGTGACCAGTGTATCAGAAGTACTGAACTGTGTCAGTTGGTGAGTGGGGCACAGCATCCAAAGACAAACATGCAGGTGAGGATGTTTAGCTGCTGAAGTTTAGAACAGCTTGCTTTCTCTGCTTTACTCTGGCTTTGGCAGAAGTACAATAGAATGAGTTTGCTGGATCTCCCTAAACGCTGCCTTATATAGCTTTTAAGAAAAAAGCAAAAAGCTGCTTTAGAAATGTCTTGAATACTCAAAACACTTTTATTCTTCTAGTTAGCTCATAAACCTGGTCTCTCAAGAGATAACTTTCTAGCTGCCAGTTAAAAAGACACACAGAAAAAAAACCCAAACCCAAAAAAATCCATCTTTGATTACTCCTTGACTATTTTCTGTTCGTATCATCAGGGTAAAATAATGTGGTTTATGCAGGAGTAGTTTCCTGGTGCAGGGAGGATGCATGTTTTAATGTTATTCTGTGGTTTCTCTTAATGGCCATTGGGAGTGCAGCTGTTTTTTGGTCCCTGATCAGATTTGTCGGGAGGACACCTAGTGGGCAGTGGCCGGGTTGTGGGGAGGATCACTGAAAGATTGTGACAACCTTGCTGGCATTTGGGAAGGCGAAACCCGGTGGGGGAGTGTGTGTGTCGCCTTGAAATGTCTTTCCTCCTGAAAGCAAGACCTGTTTGTAAACTGTTCAGGAAAATCGAAACTTTCCAGGCTCATCTTTTGAAGAGGAGTGGGTGACATTTGTGTTTCTCTGTTGAATGTAAACACACCACAGCTACAGATCACTGCTGTCCAAAGCCAGTAAAAATGTGTTTATTCTTGAATCACTTCAGTCAGTTTCATAAATTTGATCATTTTACCGTTACCAAAAATTATAGTCTTTAAATAACACAGAGTCGGAATCTTCTCTCTGCAGCTGAGGGTGTTTGCTGGCCAAGTCACCCCAGGAGAGGTTGTGCTCATGCTGGCTGATAGTTTATGAAAAGAGCTCTGGAAGGGGCAAAAAAAGGAGGAGTAGTAGGGAGATAGGAGGTCATGTAAACTTTTTGTCTCATCGAGAGTTGATTTGTGTTTTGTGTTTTGCCTCTGAGGCTTGGTGAGGTGGTATGAGCAGACAAGCAAAGAAATGGGCATTCAGGGAACTGTATACAGCTTTATCTGGGATTTCTCTGTGTTGTACTAATGAACTTCTACTCCTGAATACCCTTCTTTCTTTGCTATGCTGTTCCTGTTTCCTTTTCCTCCTCTACTGCTTTCTTTCAATACATGCTTCCTCTCCTTTCCATTATGTAATCCCTTTGTAGCCTTTCTGGTTTTGTCTTCACTCCCCAGTATGACAGAGATACTGTCTCTGCTACTGTTTTTGTTTTCTTGTGTCCTTCCCCATAGTTGTTTTGTTCTATTTGTTGCAAGTTCTTCAAGGTCCTCTAGTTGTTTACCCACTTAGCATGGTGAAGCCTTGCTCCTTGGTCTTTAAATGCTCCAGTAATAAATACAATATACAGTAGGAGTTTTGTCCACCTTGCATCTGTATTCATCAATGAGAGTTTGCTGATGTAATCTGATTGCCAGTTAGAGCCATGGTTTGCTCCAGAACACTTACAGGTTCTCACTTACAAATTTTTATTCAGCTTTGAATATGCACGTTGTCTCTGAATAGTTGCTATAAGGTTAAAAAATCAAAACCAAACTCCAACCTAAGAAGTAAGAATGAAGGTATAGGGTAATGAAGATGTCCACTTATTTTCTTGAGGCTTGATTTTGATTTAAAAAACAAAACCTACTAAAACCAACATGCCTGTTGAAGCAGGCATTATTTAAAGAGCTGAAACTAGTAGGTGATACATTTTTCCGTCATGCCATAGTTGTTTAAACACCCTATTTCACTGCCTTGCTGCCTGCTGATTGCATTATTACTCTTGCAGCTTTGCTGCTTAGTGTCTTGCAGAGGAAGACCAGAGATGGCACTGCCAGCAGTTACAGTTGACTGGAAAAAGAAATGTGCATTATAAATTTAACATACCTCATTTCAGACTCTCTCTTCACTCTGGTTTTTGAGAATAAAATCATCATCATGTCTCTCTTTATTTTGTAGTTATGCCAATTTGAGAATTCACCCTCATGGATTAGTGTTGGTGGATCTGCAGAGCTACAATGATCATATGAAAGGAAGAGAGGAAGTCGATCAGGTATGAATGCTGCTTATCTTACTAGGCTTATCAAACTGTATGAGGAATCTCTTTTCTTCAGGTCTATCAAAGTATGTCTTGGTAAAAGATTTTTAAATACTAAAGATAGTTTCAACCTGAATGCTTACAGATGAGGAGTGGTAACACATATTGTAGTCACATACACAAATGAGTGTATGTGCACACCCACAGCCTTTCTCTTTTGCATGTCCTCGGCCTCATATTCTTCGCTCTGAAGATGTAGCAGCCTTGGTTAGGGCTCAGGTATCTTTGGGTACCCAGGGCAGTGAGTGAGAAGCCCCAATCTGGTGTATTAGTGTATGACATTTTACTATTTTTTTCTCTAATTTGAGATGTGAGGAGCCTCTGTAATGAAACTTCCCCATAGAGAAAAATAGTTTCATTCTCCTTGATACAACAACTCTAGAAATTGGATATAGTGGGGGAACAAGTCACTGCTTTGGTGGGAAAGAAACCTTACAAGGTTCTCATGTTGCCTCTTTGGCTGTGCCTGAAAGGTCTGGCTATGGTATCCTGGAGGACAGCTAAACACAGTGATGACAGCTGCTACAATATGTACATTCTTGCTAGTAATGAGGCTAAGGCGACCAGCTAGCTATTCATAGGCTTCTAATGTTACATTTCAAACCTTTCAGTGCAGGTGCTAATTTTTGTTGCCTTCCAAGTAGCCTAATTTAAGAGATACTTTACATTAAGTGATTCCATCTGTCTTGTTTGCTATTTTTTCAGCTTCTAAACAAAGTAGAAGAAAGAATGAGAGAACTATTTCACGGTAATATAAAAAGGGTGAAACGGTAAGTTTGTACATTTACTTCTGTATGTGGCTTGTCTGCATAGTTGCTAAAGATAATAAGCAAATTATGCTTTGCTCTACTGCAGTGAATAGCCTGAAGTATGAATACATGTGTGTGTGGTTTTCACCCCTATATTTGAAAATTGGTTTATTGCAGAATTGAAGATACTGTGAGGTTTGGAATTTAAAGCTTCATCTTAAATATTGTTACTTTGGGCAAAGATTACTTATTTTGCTGCAATGGTTGCATGAAATGGTGGGAGAAAATGCAACCAAGAGTGAACTGCTCTAGAAGAGCTGGGGACCCAAGGGTGGCAGAGGGATGGGCCAAGCCATGAACTGCAGCCTCTGGGCCACGTCACACAGCTCATGGACAAGGTGAGAAGGGCTGGGGATGGTGACCATGGTCAGCTCCAGCCCTGTGGCTGCCAGGCTGGGCTGTAGTTATTGAAGCAGCTTCAAGACCAAGCTGAGTCTCCAGAACTGGTGAAAGACATGGGTCAGAGCTGCAGCGTAGCTTGTGCAGGGACCACGGGTGAGAGCTGGAGCTAAAAAGAATCTCAAGCACATGGAAGAGGCCCTGCCCCAACAAGGTTTTCTGCAGCTCTTCCTCTCAGAGTTCTGTCCCTGCTGCACCTTGTGGTGCTGACTTGGGGCACATGTGGCTAAAGCCCTGGCAGGGGAGCCTGTGTGCCTCCTAAGAAGATACAAATGTTTTGTAGCTTTTTTTTTAATACAACTGATAACTGAAGGAGGGAGGCTTTGCAGGCCTTCTTGTCATTTTGGTTTACTCAGAAGGTTGTAAGTGCAACTGTAGATATGCCAGCTGTGGTTTGTTGCCTGCTGCTGAAACAGCATTTGTACTGGAGTTCCACAGGGATCTGGAAGGGCACAGCTTGGATTGAGGCCTTCCTGCTGGCTGTCTGGCAGTGACTGGCACCTTGAAGCTAGGGAGCAGATGTGCTCTTGCTGAAAGGTGCAGCATGCTTTAAAGTACATAGTCAAGAAGGGGAAATGGTTTAAGAAAAGTAAAAAGCGGTGTAAAATTGACAAGGTTCAGTAAAGTCAAGGAGCAAAATACAAAATGGGAAGCCAGCTAAGTAGTACTGTAGCAGAAAGTAGTTTGAAGTCTATACGAGACCACAGGTAAAGTGGTAGTGACTTGAAAGGTCTATTATACATTGAATGTTGTTTTTTGTGTTTAAAATTGTATTTACAACAGAGATAATCTTTACTTTGTCTCACCAGGTGCACAGTGTGCAAATGTGTAGAATCCTGTGGATGTGTATCCTCTCTCTTTGAGCATATTTTAGTACTGAAATATGATTTTGGGAGTTTGTGGAATCCATATGATAGGGACTTGTTCAAAATGGATCAGGAAAAAGTTTGCCTGGAATTATGTAAATTAATTTGATTACCTTAGTGTAGGAAGATGAACCTCCTAGAACAGTGGATCTTGCATGGATTTTGTCACACACTCCTCAATTTTTTTTTTCCTCTTTTGCATCCATCTGATGTTGGCTTCACACACATATGCAGCTCCACTGGAATTAATACTGCTTGAAAAGTTGCTGCCTCTTTATTTTCTGGCATAGTGAATAGATGCTCTTGCTCTCGCTGTGTGCTGCCATCTTGCGGCTCATTGAAGGCAGAAAGGGTTTCTGAAATGTTTATTGAAATTCACTAGTGAATTTGGAAGGTTGTCTATGTTAGGTATTCTGCTAAACCCTCCTCTGGGAAGACTGAGATCTGATGAACTCTGTGCCTGCATGTTTTGCTTAAAATGGAATGCAATCATTTTGCTTCTTCACTGCCATTTTGAATATGGTTTGTCTTAACAGATGAAATACTGGTTTAAATCAGGATCCTTCTATATAGAATTAAGAAAAAAAAACAACACACAAAACCAAAACAATCTATGCAGATGTTTGAACCACTTTTAAAAATTAACGCAAACTGTCAGCACTTTTGCTGACAAGTAAGCATCAGAGATTGTGCTTATACCTTGCAGTGTGAGCTGACTGAGTTTGAATCACAGAATCACACAGAATGTTCAGGGTTGGAAGGGACCTCTGGAGATCACCTAGTCCAACTCCCCTGCCAGAGCAGGATCACCTACAGAAATGTGTCCAGGCGGGTTTTGAATGTGTCCAGAGAAGGAGACTCCACAGCCTCTCTGAAGAACCTGTTTCAGTGCTCTATCACCCTCACAGTGAAAAAGTGTTTCCCTATGCTTATGTGGAAACACTATAATAATTCAGTTTGTGTGTTTGTGTATGTATTTAAAATGTTGCTCAGTACAGCTTTAGAAGGGTAAGATCCACTAATCTCAAAGAAATGTCATTCTTAGCTGAGCTGAAAGTGTGGAGAGGTTTTGTGATTGAGTTGTTTTTTGTCTGCATTCTGCTTTATTATTTTATCCATTGCTAGTCATGAGCTGATCTTTCTGTGGAGGCTGGTATGTTATGTAAATCCCCTCTCAGACCAGAGATGTTCACACGCATTGTACAAGTTGTACATAAGAACTTTGTATTTCATCTGTGCCTTAACAAGTTATGTATTTATGATGTATGGGTAATAGATTTATCTGTTGAGTGTTAAATCTTGCAAGTTTTCTTGTAAATATTATTTAGAGATTTGTTTTTTTTTTAAAATAAACATTCTCAAATGTTTTATAATCTTTTTTCTTATTTCTTGCAAGATTGCCAGCCATTTTGAGAGGAGGTGTCATTGATAGATACTGGCCCACAGCTGATGGGCGCCTGGTGGAGTATGACATAGATGAAGTTGTTTATGATGAAGACTCACCTTTTCAGAATATTAAAATTCTACATTCAAAGCAGTTTGGGAATATTCTTATCCTCAGTGGGGATGTTAGTAAGTATCATCTCATTTAAGGATCTTCTGAGTGAAATTGCAGATGGTGTTTTCTATCTAGGGGTCATGGTTCTAATGCTGGAAGCTACATATATGCCTGTACATGGATATCTGTTCCTGTATACAAAGTATTTTAGTCAAAAAGACTGACCAATGTAAAATATAGAGTACAAAAAAATTGTCTTTTCCAAAGCGATCATCTTTGCTGTGAAAGATGACATAGAAGAATAAAAGTCAGAGTCTTCTTTAGCAGAGCTTACTCTACTTTTGTTTCATATGAGCTTTTACTTGTTTGTTGCAAGTCCAACCTCTTGAGGGCTTCTCTTTGACAGTAAAACAAGCTGCTTTGGTGGTCTTCAAAATGCAGTGGAATTCTGAAGAAATATGAAGAAACAGGAGCTTGTAGAGAAGGATGGATAATCCTGCTGCTCCCATGATTCTTTAAGGGAATTACTTGCTTGGTGAGAGACAGGACAGCTGCATCTTAAAACCCTTTAGCTGCTTGCTTGGCTGTTGTTGAATGTCTTTTGACTCTTGTCTTCTTCAAAATGCTCAGTTGAACTCCTAAGTTAAAGGCTGGTTTATTCCTCTGGTTATGGGAGGTACTCTGTGCCTGCTGATATTGGTATTTTTGCAAGTGAACTTGGGAGAAGGTATGCTGCTGTTCTCAGCTGGATAAGAATGTTGTTTCATAGAAAATCTAGATATCAAGGTGTATGCTTTGTAAAATCTCTCAGTACTTTGTTGAAATATACTGACTCGGGTAAATAAGGATGTTGCTGTCTAGCGACAGATAATTTCAGTCTAATGGCAGAGTAATTAAGAAATCTGGCTATAGCTTGTCAAAATCACCAGAAATACCTCTAACCATTCAGTTAATTTCTGCAACTGTAAAGTGGACTTCTGTGCAGATGGTAGCTGAAAAGTGTTGTTGTTTAATTCGTTAGCCAAGGTATTTTCTGATTCAGTTGGAGTTGTATTTGAATTATCAAATTAGGTATTGCATTCTTTTGGCAAGAAATTGGCATCAGAGTTTCATGTGGAAATGAGGTTTTGTTTGAATGTTATTACCATGTGCATCATAGAAAGGGAAGTGTGACATTACTTAATTATCTCCATGGGCTTTTTTTACTGTTTTACATTATTTTGGTTTTGTGCACTTACAAGTGAAGTGCTGATTGCCAGGCAGAATGATAGGATATGCCACAATGTGCCACTGCACAAAGCTTTGCCCTTGTACTCAGAGCTGTTATTACAGCTTAGAAATGTGGTTGCCTGCTTTGATGGTGGCCAAGTTGGCAGAAAGCGTATTTCAGGGCCCTTCAGCAGTTACATATTAACAGTCATACTTCTGCTTCTGTTCGGGGATCCACTGGAGTGCATCGAGGTTGCTCTTTTTAGCTGGGGCCTGGGGAGTGCTTTCACAAATATGCTGATTTGTCTCTTGCAGCACTAATCTGAGGTAAAAACCCACTGAAGTATCAAGTGTGGATATCGAGTCCTAAGTCCTGACGGTTCTGCTCTACAACTTTGCTTCTCTGAGCACACAGTGCTTCCTAATGCTGAGGTAGCCATTGCTGGGTTTGCACTGAGAACTATCCTGTGTGGGATTCTGAGGAAGATCTCATTAACTTTGATAAATCACCAGCTTCCTGTTACCTGGACTGTCTCTGGATGCTAGGTTGTAGATGCTCTTTGGCCTGTGTTATGTCACACTTGGATTAAAACCAAATTAATACAACTTTAACTCTTCTTATTAATTGATAATGCTTCTGTCCAACTCTCTCTTCCTTCCATTTAGATCTGGCAGAGAGTGACCTGGCATATACTCAAGCCATAATGGGCAGTGGAAAGGAAGACTATACTGGGAAAGAAGTACTAATCCTAGGAGGTGGCGATGGAGGTATACTATATGAGATAGTCAAACTGAAGCCAAAGATGGTTACTATGGTAGAGATATCCTTTGATAAATGACTGATCGTTCATTTTGACATTTCCTGACCTGTGTTTTCTCTTGAATTGTTAGCACTGAGCACAATTAACTGTGAGATTCTGATTTGCGTAAGAAGATGGAGTCTAAAATGAAATTTGTCTGTCAGCTTAGGGAGACCCGACGACTGCGTATTTGTGCACCACTATGTAGCACCTGCTTTCAGGTTCCTAACCTGTACCATAACTTCCAAGTAGCAATTTACACAGGACTGGAAAGGAACACTTCTGTCATCACACTGGAACCTTCTCTGATAACAGAAGACAGGTCTGTCAAGTCTGCAGTTTGAGTTGTGTTCTGCCTTGTTACAGTCTTCTGTTTTTCTGAGGAAAGCTATATAAAAAAGTAATCCCTAGAAGCAAAAGAGTTTAATCAACAGCAGTGTCAGGACTTGATAAATTGTGTTGGTGGCAGAATAACCAACTCTCGCTCTATCTTAAGAATACTGATAAAAATCAAGTTTTTAATATTCTGTAGTTCAGATAATTTGTAATGTAAACCACTGCTGCCCATATGAAATATTGATCATCCTAGGTTCTGGGATCCCCTTGCTAGAAACTAAAAATTATTATAAAACTGTAGGTTAAAGTCTTAACCTAGCTTACCTTTATGGGGTTTTAAAATACATCATCCTATTGTTCACATTTCAAGCTTTCACAGTAATGGTGTAACCTAAGGTACAAGTAGTATGGTCAAAAAATTCCTAAACCTCTAACTGAATCTGGAGGAAAACGCATAATGTTGCCTACTGCAATACGTGTATATATATATATATCAAGATATGCATCTTGATATTCCTTTGTGAATGTCACCTTTTTGAGAATTTCTTTCTGAAGAAATATAAACTGTTAACCTGTATTATTTCTGGAACGTAAAATACCTTAACCAACTTCAAACATTGACCAAATGGTGATCGACGGATGTAAAAAATACATGCGTAAAACATGCGGAGATGTCTTAGACAATCTGAAAGGAGAGTGCTATCAGGTAATTTTTTTGGTTTTCTTTCAATAGAGGTAATATTTTAAGTGCAGTTATAGCTAACCTGGAAGACTGCTGTGGCAAAGTATTGAGGAAGAGTATTCTGGTTTTTTTTTAATTTTGGGAAGGATTCTTTTTCCTTTTTTTTATGACACAAAATTTAATAGCTGGCACTGGAATTTGCGTTGGAAGTATATATTAGTGTCAAAATGTTTTAACTCTTTTATCTTCAGTCTCTTTTAAAAGTAATACATATAGCTTTAACGGAAATACATATAGCTTTTAAGGAATGTGAAATAGGAAAATGTTTATTGCCATAGATTACAAATGAAGAGGAAATAGCAGTAAGTATATAAAATAGATGTTCCTTTTCATCAATTTAAGGAATTATTTTTTAAGTTATTTGTCCTGTGCTGTTGAGAATATCTGAATTTGTAATGCACATTTAAAAATTATTTCTAATTTGCAGGCAAAATCTCTTACCATTACACTGCTAGTATATTAAAAATTAAAAACCATCTAAAACTAAACAATTCATGTGTCCCTGCAGTTAATGTCTTTATGTGCTGCACCTGACATAGCTTAGAAACTAGCCCAGGTGTAATCTGACATCTTTGCTGGCAATCTTTTGTGTTTTTGTTACTGGTGCTTAAGGCTCTCACAGATACTAGTTTACAGGTTTGAGCTAAAAAAAAAAAAGCAAAAATTTACTAGAGAAGTCGTGTGCTCTTTGCATGAATCAGTGACTTTTCATACAAATATCTTATATTACTTGTATGTTGAGGGACTGCTGTTATTACTATTTAGTGATACCATGGACACCTGGTAGTCAGTAACAGTCCTGTAGTGCCTGTGTTGTCAGAATTCCTACTACTGTTCCTCCTTTTTACATGGTGTAAAGAATGCAAAATGGAGCCTGAGGGAAAACACATCTAACCCTGTATTTTTCCCTTCCTCTTAATACCTGTGAATCCACATTTGATCCCCTTACCTGGTCAGTCCTCAGATATTTTGAGGACCAGCTACAGTATTTCATTCTTGTAGGTTCTAATTGAAGACTGTATTCCCGTACTGAAGAGGTATGCCAAAGAAGGAAGGATGTTTGATTACGTAATTAATGATCTGACGGCTGTTCCAATCTCCACATCTCCAGAAGAAGGTTAATCTTCTGATTTATTTTCCTTAAAATTTTCCATATTTCTGCCCATTTGATGCATATTAGTTGGCAATTTGCAACAAAAGTACTTTGATTCTTGCCTTTTTAATAGCAAATCTGTGAGGCAAATAATAACAGTAACCTGTATTTTTGAATTTTTGTTGAATGTTAAAAAAAAATAGCAAGTTCCTAGGACTTTTTTTAATTGTGCTCTTATTCAAGAATAATGTAATTTTTGAGAAAGAATTTGAGGAGTTCACACTCCACTAAATTTTTTCCACACTCTATAATTTCTCATAAATGGGTGGAAAATTACTGTGAAACAGATACTACCACCATTATTTATTACCTTTAAAAAAAGGTATAGGGTAGCTACTTTGTGAACATTTTGCAAGTCTTAAATATGTAGTAGTCAACAAGCCAGTAATATGCTATTCTGTTTTTAATTATATCTTATATGCAGATTCCACATGGGAATTTCTGCGATTGATTCTTGACCTCTCGATGAAAGTCCTGAAACAAGATGGAAAATACTTCACACAGGTATGGTATCTGCATGTAAAAAACTATTGCTGTATATGTATTGCAATCTATATTTTTCAGGTTAAAAAAACAAAGAAAGGAGGCAAACTCAAACCAGCTAGTTAAGAAAAAGTCTACTAGCAGGTTTTTCTACTTTTAATGGCTCAGTAGGGACTTTTGCAGGAAATACAGGCTTTGCAAACTGACTTTTTGAATTATTTCAGCTGAATTTGTAGTGCTTGTCTTTTGAATTAACATAATTTCAAGGATCATTTTAGGCATACTACAGAATATTTTAACTATAAGGAATTTTTGGAAAAGCAGAATAAACAATTACATGGTTCTTAAACTAAGATCTCCAGTTGTAGTGTGTAAGACATGAAAATTTTGTCATCCATAGAGGTCTAAGAATTTGACATAGGTGCAGTGGGACAAGAAAATGAATCATTTGGGAGTATATACTTTTTTTTTGCTTGCTCTCCACTCTTAATGAGTCTAATGAGGATTCTGGCTTCTGCAGAACTGATTTTGAGCATTTGAACTTGTTATAATGCTTGACATTTTTTAAGTATTTTCAAGTAGTCATAAATAAGAATTTGTCCTTGTGTATAAAGTTTTTAATTCCACTCAATTTAAAAATAAGTAATTATAGATTTGTACGCTTGCTACAGTATAGCCGTCTTGTGGATAATACAATTATGGTACAGCTTTCATCTGAATATACTTTCTCTATGTAATCCTGAATTTGGAATGCTACAAAGCTGCATGCAGTTGTACAAAAATGTGACAAGACCAGCAAACAGTTGAACAAAGTACAAGTCTCTGAAGCTGTATTACTTTTGTGATGTCCATACCTTAACTAGTCTCCTGATGTGTGGAGCATCTAAGTACAGTGCTTTGAAAAGATCTTGTTACGCTTCAAAATAACCTAACTAAAAAGATTTGTTTGAGCTCCATTCCTGTCAGCCTAGAGTTTGAGGTGCATAAAGGAACTGTTTTGCTGTAAAATTGGAGAGGTTTATGAAGAAACACAAACCTCCAAACTTTTGACGACTAAATGTGCTGCTTTTATTTTAAAATGCTGTGGTTGCATGGGCAAGATAAATTATCTTGTGGTTGAAATGTGAGATGACTAATGTGATTGAATCACACTGTAAATCTTAATGTCTTTTCTGTTCTGTCAGTAGTGGAAGTATTTATGGCAGACTTGGCCAGAGCAACCATTTGTGTTGCAGTTGTTGTACTTGTAATGTATGCAGTGGGAATAGTTGACTTGACTAGAACGTATGTAAAGGTATGTCTGTGGACAGGTGCCTCTCAGACTTTACAGGAGGACTCTGGGAAGAAGCTTGTGCTGAAAGCTGGAGCGATGGCTGTGCTGCAGCCAGCACACAGGGGTGTGGTTTTGCATCAGCTGGAGCCAACAGAGGCAGAGACTGATGCAGCCCTTGCTGCCTGCCCTGTCCTGATGAGAGGGAATAGCTCAGTTCCAGCATCTCTGCTTGCAGAGGAAGAAGAAAGCTCTGCTGAACTGGCTCTGGAAGATTTAAAACCCTTGTGAAACTGCAGTTTCTAGTTCACAGTTGCAAAGCAACAAGGTGGGAGAGGGCAGGATGGGAAAGAAACAATATTACAACTGATGGGGCTTCAGTTTGGGCTTGTGGCTAACTGCTAGCCAGGGAAAGGGATGGAATATAGAAGCAGTGTACTCCAGCGCTTTAGTCTTCCTGAGGGTGTTGGAAAAAGGCAGAATTACTCCTGGGGCAGGTATCACAACTTTTGATACAGTGATACACTACTCAGCCCAAGGGCTACAGATGGTCCTTGTAGCCTCCTCCCAGTTTGGCCTGATTTAAAAACAAAATCAGAAAAACCCTCAGAAAACTCAGTAGTCTCTCATAGGAAGAACATGTTTGTGGGGGTGCTTTACAAAAGCAGCTGTCTGTAACTGTTTAAATTAGATTTTGAATTAAACTAGCTGAAACTGGAATTCCAAAGGATTAAGTTAGACTATGAGCAGAAGTTCAGACATGACCACAATTGACTTCAATAGCTGAGTGTAGTCACACACTGTTAACTCAAAACTGTTTCAAATGCTCTGATCAAATGCTCTGATGTGTTAGCTGATAAATGCCAGGGATTTTTAACTCCGTGTATTAGCATTGGAAATTTAAGTTACTTTTGTTCCAACTGTCTTATTTCCAGGATGCTTATCTTAAGTAGCAGGCTATGCTATACTTGTTGAAGGAATCATATGTCTGTTCAGGCAGTTGTGTTTTTAAAATCCAGGACGTTGTGTGTCCCCCGGCTTTCTTGAAGTATGCTTTCGTTCTTTAAAACCGATAATACATTAAATATTATCAGGAAAAGTGACTGTGAGAAAACCCACCTATCTGTTAGAGCCTGACCTTTGCCATAATGAGTAGATGTCTCATAGGAAAGATGCTTCAAAAGTGTCATTGTCCTCTTGGCTACTGGCCAGTAGCTATAGTTGCTACTTCTGCCTTGGCATTATGCTGTATGAGTGTTTGAAATTGGTTCTGTGTAGTTTGTAGCCCGTTCTGTGATAGTTCTGCTAGCAGAGGTTACCTTGTGTGTCTTATTAGAATGTCATTATTTCGATGCTCAAGAAATGCTTTAGCCAAAAGTGGAATTCTGCTCACAGAATGCCAGCATTTCACATACTGCATTGCTGCCTGACTCTAAATGCCACTACTGGGTTAAATAAATGGAAATGCTCATCTCTGAGCTCTGCATGGGTTTTGCTCTTTTAAGCATCTGTCAGCATGCATGGTCGAAAGCTGTCTATCTCCAGATAGATGTAATTTATCTGAGATTATCAAGAGAATTATTTTTTTGGCATACTACTCTTAACACACCTGGTTGTTCCCTCAGGATGCCATAGTGATCCTAAAAACAGTCTCCAAATGCCAATGCAGAATATCTTCTCACCACTAGATGGAGACTGATAACTGATATTGCCTAGCAGTTCGTTAACGCTTATAGAGAAATTCTGTCTGTTGAAGGTTTTTCAGACTATTTATTTGTGTTCCTATGGGATGCAAGAACATGTGTGGCCAATTTTAGGGTGAATGGACTTTTTGCTTGTTTCAGTTCTGGAATGACAGAAAGGTCAGTTTATGGATCTCATTCTCTCCTGCTGTTAGTCTGTGCATAAGTATGTTGGAGATGGGGGGAAACACCTCCATACTTGCTCTGTGTATCCACAAATAGTAATCACAATGAAAACAAGAAGTTATTTGTACAAGTAGCAGTCTTGCTTTTCATGTCCTTGCTTTTTTAGCTGCATCATTCATATTGAGAGTCTTGCAGCCTTCGTAGGACCTGGACAGAGAGAGCTGAGCTTTAAGACCCTTAGCCTGAAGAACTTGCAGTCCTGTCTGTAAGTTTGACTTGAGGCTTGTTAGTGAAAATTTACTGTTGAACATAATCCCCATAATCTGATGTTAAAGGGTCTCATATAGCTTGCCATACTTCTTTCTTCTTCTGAAGCTGATGCTTTGAAGTGTTTAGTCAGGTAACATGGGTGCAGGTCTGTGAGGTGTTGCCTTCTCTGAGGGGAGCCAGTTACAGGTGCAGGTTTCCAGTCATCACAGGCGAGAGAAGCATGAGGCAGTGAGGATGTTACAGCTTGGTTTATCCTGAAGTCCAGTTTCATCTCTTAAACAGTCCCACTCAGTGACTTGAACACATTGTTTTTATGCTATTGGGCTTTCTAAAGGCCAATATGACTTCTAGATTGCCCAAATGTGTTGTGTTTTTTTGTTTTTAATTCAGTAGATAATGTGTACTCATAAATACTAGTATGCTATGCTTGTAGTTTTTCTGAACCATCACCATCCTGCACCTTCTAAGTAGCATGTGAAGATTGTCCCAAGAGCTATGAAACTGCAGAGAGTACTTGTGAGATTGGCTCTGTGTCAGTGAATTGCATGCAGCTATGAAAATGCTTTTTTCTCTGCTAATTTTTTGCTCTGCTGATCTAATCCTTTGAGGTTTAGCAGGCTATCATTTTCAACCTGTTTACGAAGTAGAATATTTAAAAATACCTCTGAACAGGAATTTGCTCCTTCCGAGTCTGGGTCATCCAACCCAGGCAGGATAGAAACTGTCTCAGACTACTCGTGGGTTTGGGTCCAAGTAAACAGCACTAATCACTGGTGCAAGGGATCAGATGTCTGCTACATGCACACACAGCCCTTCACAAAGCTGTCACTTCCTGGCTGCTCTCTAATACAGTGTGGCCCTGCCCTCTGAATGTCCACCATGATGTTGTTCCATAGTTATGCTCCTTTTTTTGGCTCCTGTGTGGGTTTTCTAATTAGCACTTCCAAAGAAGACAACAGGGTTCTCCTTGACTGCAAATGTAAAAGGCGGCTGAAACGGATGCATGTGCCTGTGTGAGCCTGTGTGATTTCTTGTCACTTTGGGAGCCTTTAAGGGACAGTTACTGAAAGTTCAATTTTAACTGATTATTTGGGCAGTGCAGATATCTTCAGTCAGGCTTGCCTCCATTATTTCCTTAAAAGCCATCCCTGTCACCTCAAACTCAAGGCTAGCGCTGCTGCTAAATGTTTCATACTTTGTGTATCTCATCGTTGCTTGGTCACTCTGAACCCAACCTTGGCCACATTTAGCTCTGTCACAAAATAAAAATAGAAAACCATGTTTAAAATTAAACTTTTTCTGTATACTGTCATAGAAAAGGATGTCCAGTAGCGTGACATATAGGGTAAGACATGTAAGAATGACCTGTGAGAAATGGACAAGTATGGAAAGGAACCCTTCTGTCTGCTTTCAAGCCACTAGTTTGCTTTCTAAGGTTAGAGAAATGGCCTAAATTTAGCCTATAAACAGTTGATGGACACATCCTGTTTGTAAGCTCCAGTTAAACTTTCCCCACCTATAAGGTTAATTTAAACAAATCCGTTTTTTAAAAAATTACTTATTTTAAGGCCTGTTTTTTGCTGTCTGCCTGGAACTGTGTTTATTATTTAAATTTTTTGTACATTGTGCTGTAGAAACATGAAAAACTAAACCCACACTACTAGAGAATGTGTGCCTTCTGAAAGCCTGGAAGTATTGATGTTGGGAGACAGGCATGAGCTGCTGAAGTGTGTGCAAGCATGGAGCAGACTCAGAATGCAAAGGCTGTGAAACAGTTCAAGATTAATCAATCTTAGTCTTATAAATACAAATCGGTTAATTTCAAACATTTTCATGTCAGAGAGGTGCTTGCTAAGGAGAAAATTTTCATATTACTCCATTTCCTATTTGTCATTGATTGACAAGATTAAGTAATGGAGGGTGGGCAGAAGAGTTTGGTAGGGGTTTTGTTTATGTTGAAAATTAACCAAAGAGTGTGAGGGGGGCAAAAAGGGAGGTCTGATTTTGCTTATTTCACTGTGAAAGCACCATTGAATATTGGTTATTGTTTGAGTATGTGGTGGCTGTTTGGAACAAAAATGTATTGCTCTACCACATAACTGTTTTCATGAGATGGGGAGAGTTGAAATGAACACAGGTTATTAGACTGATCACTGTATTGCATTCTGAGCTTGGTTCCCCTATTTTATCAATAGAAGAACAACTAAGTGGGGTTGACACGGTTATCGGTGCTGTAGTCTTAGTGGATAAAGCTGATAATTTCTTACAGAAAGGTGTTAATAGTAGTGATTTTTAAATAACTTTTCTCTTTACTCAAAAAGTTCATCTGAGTTTTCTAGATTTGATATTTAGAGTACCTAGCTTTTTGTTGGGTAAAGCCAAAAAATTGCAAACAACATATAATTGTGCAGCTCTATGAGATCCTGTAGTGTGTCTCCAGAAGGAGAAATTAATAGAACAACCAGGTAGGATGTGTGAACCTTTAGGTAGGATCTTGATTTGGAGACTGGGGAGTTGAGAGTTTGAAAAGTAAAAATTGCTTATTGACATGTTTTCTTGTTCCTGTAATTTGTTTTCCACACTGTCTGCAGTGATTTGTCTGTTACTGGAGAAGGGAGAAAGGATGAAATACCGAAGTGACAGGCTGGGAAACTTTTGTCTCATTGTATATCCTTATTAAACTTCCTTCACGATAGTGGTATACTCCATAAATTACCTAGCACTGTTTTCTATTTATGACTTAAATTACACACACCAGGTGTTTTTTTTTAGTTTTCTTTTGCATTCAATCTGATGTTGAAACTAAATTATACGTTTGGTAAAGGGCAACTGAACCAAATAACAGCTACAGTCCCCTGGATAATAACAGGTTACTAAAAAAGTACTACACTAGTCTGTTCATTGTTGTGCTTCGTGCAGTTGTGCTCAGTTTGTGTTCATCTCCTACCTTTTTACAAACCTCTTGTCTTCTGATACCCAAAACTGAATATGTTGTATTCAATATAAAGCATGCTGTCTTCCTTTACCAAATAAACAAGTGCATGTTTTGTTGTGGAATATGATTAAAATGATAATCAAACACATTTTATGCAAGTTCTTTCGAAAGAGGTCTTTGAAGAACATGCTTTTATAAAAGGCGCAGTGTATAGGATTTTAAATTGAAGTTTTCCACTTGTGAAAATTTGAGCACAATACAAAAGATTCATTGAGCATGATGCAGAAAATTCAGAGGAAGAACGGTATGATGAAGTCTCTTTTCCTCTAGGAACAGAGCTATGTTAAATACATTGTGAAAAAATCCTACCAATAAAAAATAGAAAAAAACCATTTTAAATCCCAGAGTCAGAAACAGAGTTTCTAGCTAGTTATCATCTGATGATGTTAAATGGAAAAAGCTACATGGAAAAAAACCTAAATGTAGGTGGAGCTGTTTAGATATATTGGTTTCAGATAAGATCTCTGCTTGTTTTGGCCTTTGCCCCTTGTTGTTTTTAAGAGCACAGGTAGTATTTGTTAATCAAACTCATCTTCCTTGCCTTATGAAAATTAACTGTCAGTTGCATCTGTGCATCTATGTGCACAGAATTGTTTTAAGGCCATTTTTAAAAATCTGGGCGCACCGAAAAGCAGAACTTTAAGAATGCAGCTTTTTTAAAGACTATTTTCTTGGAGTTAGGAGCTTCATAATGTGTTATCAGAGCGATGCACACATGTGAAACATAAGTAGCGCAGACATTTAGGAAGTGTTCAATAAATCCGTTGTTTGTGGGGTACTGGAGAACTTGACCTTCCTTTCAGATTAGAAGTCTTAAAATATTGAATAAACTGTGACTGAGAGCTATGTATTTTCTTAGATCTAGCTCTTTTTTTTCCTTAGTTGAACAATCCATAGTCTTTCAGGGTCAGATGTGTATTAATGTTATTTACAAGCGGGAAGGAACAAAGATACCTCATTAAGTAATTGGGAAAAAAAAAAACCCCAAACTACATATGTGTACACATGTGCAAATTCGCCTTGTAAATATTAAGAACAGCATGTATCTATTTCTGAACTATTGTGAGAGTCTTGTATTAATGTGAAAATGTATATTTATCTGCAGTTTTGCTTATTTATTTGGTTGTAACTGGGACTTCTTTTTTTTTTTGTGCAGGGAAACTGTATCAATCTGACTGATGCCTTGACTCTGTATGAAGAACAGCTTAGCAGGCTTTATTGTCCTGTGGAGTTTTCAAAGGAAACTGTGTGCGTTCCCTCCTATATGGAATTGTATCCTTAAAGACTGAAAAAGAATGGAGAGTGTGTCTTAATAAATCAAGCAAGCTTGGATTGCTTGGAGGTAATGGACTCAAGTGTAAGAAGGCAGTTCTAATTTAAACGCTATTAATGTTTTTTTCATAGTAAATGAACTACTGCAGCTTTATTTTGAGGATAATTGCAGGAATTATTTTTTTAAGGGTGCTATAAATTCACAGCTGGTAAAGTTATCAATCTATGCTTTTTCTTAGTGTTTCCAAGTGTCTTGTTTTTGTAATGTAGGATAAACTATATGATTAAGGTAATGCTGCCTGGGAGTTCTGGCAAGGCTGTATCTTTTTCTTATTTCTTTCACAAAAAACGCCAAACCGAATAGCCTGAACCAGATGTTTAAATAGTCTCTGGTAGATCTATTCTGCTGTGTAAAGCTCAGACTGGATTTTTAGTGGGGAAAAGAAAGTGATTTCTAATAATCATCACTTGTTAGTGTTACTGAAAAAAATATTGCAACTGGGAGGATATACATTTCTTGACAAATCTTATTTCTTAAAAATAATCCTTCTGGATTTCTTCATTTTCTGGGTGGCAGGCAAGGATCTAGAAGTTTTGACTTCAAGCCATTAGCTCTAGAAGGGACAGTCTGATCTGCTATAGGGCGCTTCTGCTGGCTGCATTTGCCTTGAGCATTTACTGCTTTGTGTGATCTCCAGGGAAGTGTTTCCGCAGGGTAATGACTGCTGTGACTTTCCCTCTCTTGACAGGAGAGCTCTTTCCAGGATCTGCTTATTCATAATATGTTAAGTGTGTGAAACCACCACAACCTTTCTTCTATTCTGTGTGTTCATTTTGCTTCTCCTCTCTCTCTCTAATCTTGACACTGTTTAATGCTGTAGCCTGCTGTTCTGTTCCTCATTATTGTCAGCTCTCCAGTGAAACTCAGAGTTGATCTTAACATTTGCAAGACAAAAATGTACAGAGTGAAAGAGAATATGAAGGTATTTGCCCTTGTAGCTCACAGTTTTGGAGAATATGGTTATTTTTGCCTTTATAACTGATAGGTCTTAATGCAGCATGTATGTAATTTGAAAAAGTCTTCTAAATACTTACTGCATTGTTTATTTGGAAATATGCAAGATATTTCTGAACAAATAGAGTAGTAAATGCTACTGCATTTCTTTGAAACATACTTTTAAATGTTTCTAGTATACTAATGAATATTAAATATTTTAGCAATTAATTTATTAAAACTAGCCATTAACTAGGTATAACAGAGCTTAAAAATGAATAGTTCTTAAAATGGACTAAGCTTTATTAGTTTGATTTTTCTGAATTAACAGTGATATAATGCTAAAGGTACAGGAATGTTAAAGAAGCCATCTTGATGGCTTCAGATTACCCCAAAGCAAGTTCTCTAACTCTTAATTTGATCTTAGTCTACTAACAGAGCTTTATTTGGATTTTTAGTACCGGTTACTGCTTTTCTTGAAACTAAAGATTTCCAAGTAGGAGTATGTATCTGAATGGAGGGTTATGCCTAAATGCTGTTCCACAGATGACGGATGTTAGAGTTGAATTGTGACAAGTAATCAAAAAGTAAGACTTTTTTCTTTCTGAGGGACGTGATTCGTACATGACTTTCATTTAAGTACCTGAAATCTCTTGAGCCATTGAACACATCTTCACTTATGCAAATGGTCATATTTGTAATCTGAGCAAAAGTTACCTGTGTGGGTACCTGAATGTGGCCAAAGTAGTAAGATGGCTTATCACTTTTTATTGTTACTTGTTTTACCTACTTCAAGAATTATTATTCTGTGTAATTATTACTTGAAATTTTGGAGAATACCAGTGTAGCTTTGGGGGTCACTTGAAATTCAAGTAACTGTTGACATAAAAGCAAGCTCCCTATCTTAAGGAAAGCATAGTTGTCTGAGGTATCTACCATGACCTTATGGTGAACATGGAGGCTCCTATCTGGGGCCTATGTGACCTTGTTGGGTAAACAGAAAAGTGTATATCTTTACGTGGTTTTATTAAATTGTTAATCCCAGAAATATACTGTGCAGCTATTGCTGTAACTTTTTTAAAAGTCAGATGTTTGTGTCTAATCCTCCACTTTGCTGTTCTGGAAGCAGGTAGAATTATGTAACTCTGACCTCCCTCATGTGCCCAGCATGGCAAGAGAGCTGCTGAGCATCAGTCGTCTGTCCTGCGAGCAGCACCTTAGAGATCTGTGGCTGGAGCGTGGCTGCTGGGTCTGTCTGTAAAAAACAAAACAAAAAACCCCCACAAAAAAAAAAAAAACAACACCAAAAAAGCAGCAGCAAAAAAAGCACTGATTCAGCTGGCGGTTGCTCTGTATTTGCTTCTAGCTTGGTCTGGGTGACATAAAGGTCTGCTTTCTGAAAAGTGTTTAGGTACCTAAGGCAAACACCACAGGAGCTTTTAGAGAAAAGCCTAAGCAGAGTTTAGATGCATTTGTCAAATGTGTGTTTTACAGAACCCCCCCCACTGAGGCAGTTAAGAGGCAGTAGGCATTTAAGTCTTTGCCCAGTGAGACACGTGGACACCTAGTGTTCAGCTACTGACATCTCAATATTAATTTTGTGGCTGATTGTGTCTGCATTACAGAATCACAAGTTAGGGAGCTGAATGTCTTTTTCCTGTTCAGGCTTACCACTTTACAGCTGAGAAGATGAGCAAGAGAGATTGCAATGCAAAAAAACCCAAACAAATGCCATCTGAAAGTTACTCTGCAGCAAGAATTAGAAAACATGGCTTTGCAAAGGATTTGTTTTAGTGGAAATGGGATGCTCCTTTCAACTGATGAGTCAAAAAGAGGATCAGGGAGATTTCACCTTTGAGACTTTTGCCTACCCCGTCTTTGTGAGCTACCGGTTTTCAGAATTGAAATACTAGTGAAAAGAACTACTTCTGTTTTAACTGTGTACTAAAAACTACATTTTGTTTTATTCCTTAACTGCTTATTTTCTCCAGATGGGTATTCTACACTATTTGGAAGAAACAAAGTGACACCTGAACATCAAGATTGAGATTATCCTCAATGTACATGCTGCATGGAGCATATACGCCTGCCACGTGCTGCATATTGGCATCTTGAACCTTTAAATTATATGCTGTAGATGATCCTGAAACTTAGTCATGCTATTGATTGTGAATTCTTTAAATGTTTTTTATTATTATTTTAATTTAAAAGCAAATGGAAAAATGTATATTTTGATGAGCAAGGGTGTTATTTTTGAAAGTCAGCTTAAAGATGAATAAGCAGCAAAACTATGTAGCTGCTGAATGCACTGAACCTTTAGAATGTGATCCTTTTTATTTTTTTGTAGATCTTCACAAACTGATTAAAAAAAGACATCTTTAGCATTTCATCCCTGAAGGATTGTCCATGGAGTTTGTTTTGGGTGGGATTTTGTTTGTTTGCCACCATATTTTCTTATCTGTGGTGCTTTTTTTCTAAGGATGAAAGGTTTTTTGGTTTTGGTGGGGCATTTGGTTTTTTTTGTTTTTTTCTTTTTCAAATGAACACTGTAGTGTTTCTATATAGAGAAGAGTGTAACTAAAAAAAAACAAACCAAAAAATCTTCTGAAAGGATACCCCAAATCCTTTATTGCAAAGGGAAGAAAGCTGCTCTTAAATTGCATTTACTCTAGTTTCATTCATCATTGCTGTAATCTCTTCTACAGAAGACTTTTTGACCTTCACCTTACAGAATTATGTAGCTGCTGCCATATTGACTATTCAGATTTTGATAGGGAAGTAACAGTAGGTTATAGAGGCACTTTGAACTCTATCAGTGTGAAAATTAGAATTGGTTTTCTCTCCCACCACAGTGCAAGAAATGGAGCGCAATATGGTTCTTGTGGGAATGCATTCAGTCTTATGGGAGGTACTAGGTTCTTGAAGAAGGAAAGGTCACTTTAGAGAGCAAGAAAGTGTGGATGTGATCTAGATTCATGTGCACCAGTACTGAATGTTTTGAGGCAAGTGTGTGAACTTCAGTAGGGTAAGTCCTGGTCATATTCCTGCAGATTGACCATGTTGTGTGGTGCTCTTGCTATAAAAATCAGTGGAAGCTAGGTCACACCGTAGTTGCTTGCTGGAAGATAAAGCATTTTTCTTGCTGTTTCTCTTGTCTGAAAAGTTACATTTTTATAAGAATGTGCTGTGTATTGACTAAAACTTCACTTTCAGTGTTTAAAAGATCCCGCTTGAAAGGAGGTAGGAAGTAACCATTCTGTGCATTTCTGAACATTTGCAAGTTACAATGGAAGGTACACCATTTCCCTAAATGCTCTAATCCTGAACTGTAATGATGTTTTTTCCTTCAACACATAGTATCAATATTTTATTAGTTTTATTGGAGGGATTTGATTTCCCTCCCCCTCAAAATACTGTTAATGAAAACAAACCAACCAACCAATAAGCACTCTGAAGATCCATATTCTTAAATCATGCATAAAGAAAATTTTTCTGTGTTCCACATATATAAGCTGGTCATGTAGTCTGAGTAGCCTATTTGGAATTCCAGAGTGATATTAGAAAATTTGCAAAAATTTACTCTTAATTTGGTGTGTAATTATTTTTTTGTATTGTACAATTGTGCCATTAAAATGCTTTCAGTTTGGAGAGCCAATAGAAGTATTCTTCTGTCTTGCTGGTTTAAGTTATTGCAGTTAATGTTAATTCTTTAATATACATGGGGCACAGTTCTTCTGTGGCCTACATCTTGTGCATCCCTAAATACTTGCAAAGAGCAGAACCTCCTTCTAAACAGGAGGGAAGAGTTTCTTGCATTTCCCTGAGTGTTTTAGCTCCATTGTATATATCTCAAAAAAATACCTTGATATTATTGCCTATAACTTAGTCATGACCCTTCATTTATGATACAGGACTGCAGTCAGTGTATTGTATACCTGCAAATGAGTGCAGGTGTCCTATAAAGTTACTTTTATCCTTAACTTTGCAAACATGAATATTCCTGTTGATCATTAGCGTGACTAGCCACATAGGTGAACCTAAGCACACAGGCATTCGCTGGGATGGCGCTTGCAGTGTAGATGTTCTGAGTGAGCTTGATAAACATAGAAATTAGCCAAAACAATTGGAGGTGTCTTTTTTTTAACAAAGAAATTTGTGAACTGGAAGATGGCTTTAATTTGCTTGCTGTACCAAGGCTAGCACTTTTAACAACGCAGCACAAGGCTGCATGAGCATGGAGATGTTGGGTGTGTAGGGATGTTCCATAACCAGTTGCCAGAGTGACCAGGGGACTCAAATTGCATATTGATAGGTGAGAGGCAGCAGTGCTTGCAAAAATCTTTTTCAACTGATACAGTATAAAGAGAGTTGAAGGAATTATTTTTTTTCTTTAAAGTGTTTTAACATATAGTCATTTTTTAAAGTGATAGATGCAGTATAAAGCAATTCAGCAAACACTGAACATTTTATTTTTTTTAAGTTGCTGAATTCATTGTAAGCAAATATATACACACTGTTGGTCTTTATTTATTGTAGTATAGATTTTTTTTTTTAGAAGGAAAATAAGTCTTTATATTAGAATTTTTCAAATGCAAACTGTGATAGCTGATCATTTTTCCATATTTAAGGCCAGATGGGAAATAACTGATTGCTGCACTATGTATGCAAACAGTTACCAAGTTGTGGTTAACATTATGGTTTTCTTAAATATACTTTGCACTAAGTGCTGCTTCCACCTAGAAATGTGATCTGAGTATTGAAGAATTTGATTGATAGTAGCTTGTGCAAAGAGAAGACTGTTGGCGTTGTATCTACTGCATCAGTGCAGTGCACATATTAAAATAAAGGTACACTATTACTACTGGTGTGTTCGAATTGTCAAATACATTATGGATTCAGTATTAAAATGACAGAATTGATGGGTATGATGCTTGCCATTGTACTTTTTTTCTCGTCACCTAACAAACATGAAGGTACTTAACAGTCTTTGTACTGAGTATCTTTTCTGTCTCAGATTAATAAGTTCAGTTATTTTCTGTATGATACATGCTTAGAAAAGATACTGTAATATGAAAGAGCACACTGATATTTGTGATGGGAAGGAACCCATAAGGGTTCATTGATCTTTGCCTAGGAAGAGTTAATTTTCTGTGAGTGCTGTAGGTGTGAATTCTTCGGAAGCCTGTAAGTGTAAGTTATTTTAGTCCTTCTGCTGAAGTGTCAGGATGGCTTTGGGTGGCAGCATGACTCATTGTGTGGCATGGAGAAAAGATAGACTTGGGAGAAAAAAGTGAGACGTTAGGAATGATGCAAGCTTTGGCAGAGAGGCTTAAGGAAGAGGGAGAAGGGCATGAACAGGGTGGGCATGTTGAAGAAGCTACTCTGGAGTGCGATTCAGAAAGATTTATGGTGTCAGACACTGAAAGAAGAATGTGACTTCTGAAAGATTGTAGAGAGATGTACATAAATTCCACCTATCTGGAAAGAAGTATTTATACCTGTCACAAGTACAGTGATAGCAAAGGGATTGGTACTTGGCAGAAAAAGAAGAGGGAAGCCTTAACTTTTTGAACAAAAAAAAAAGTTTCACAGACTTTGAGGGTAAGATAAAGGATAATTTTAGAGTGCCTGTATGCACAGCAGGGAGGATAGGTAGCTCTATTTTCAATGTTCGGGGTTTGCAGTGTTGACAGCTTGCTGGAAGGAACAAGATGAGGGGACAAGTGAGAAGAGTGCTTAATTTCTTATGTTAATTTAGGAGTAGGAGACTGCAGATGATGTTGCCTGAGGGTAATATCAGGACGTTGATAAACCTTGCTGACAGAAGAAAAAAAGGAATAGTTGACATGTTTAAAGGAGCTGCTGAGTGAGTGAGAGAAGTAGCAAGCGCAGTGCAGAAGTGATTAATATTAGCATTGAGCAACATGAAAGTGCCTGCTGGAAATGTGGAATGCTTTAGGAAGCAAGGAGGTAAAAATGTGGAAAGAGAAGGGTGGGAGGATGTGAAGTTCATACAGTGGTCATATGTTTTAGTGAGCTTGAACTTCAGAGGTAGGAATGGAGAAAGTGGAAAGGAAGGAAAGAAGAGGGTGAAATGCACTTCACAACTGGAAGCATGTTGAGAAGTGTTCCTGTGCAGTGTCAAGCAAAGAAAGGATGCAGGAGGAGGAGTTGTTCAAAATAGGAAGGAACTGAGGGAGTGAGCCAAGAGGAGGAACCAGAAACATGACAGTACAACAGATGTTTCCCAAATCCCCACCACATATGGACGTATCAAACAAGAGTGCTGTTGCACTGCCTAGCCTGTCCTCTGCAGGTGTTAGAGAAGGAAGAGAGGTTGGAAATGTTTAGGATTTTTTACTGAGTAGTTGTTGCAAGATGACCCCTAAGTATTAAGAGGAAAAGAGCTTAACTGCTGGAAATGAAATGACCAAAAGGAAAGTGTTCTGATTAAAGAATCTTTATGGTAGACAGGTTACCCAAGCAAATAAATACAAGCTTTGAAGCCCAGAAGAAAGGGCACTATGTGATACCTAACTGTCGTAGGTTGTCATTGTGAGCATGGAAGAGCG